AAACCGATTGAACATGAATTTCACTTGCAGAGACAAAACAACAACTAAGGACAGCTGCAGTAAAGGCTTGGCAAAACATCGCACAGGAGGAAACCCAGTGTTTGGTGATGTCTATGCTTTCCAGACTTCAATCAATCATTGCCTGCAAAGGATTGTTTTATTTCAAATCCATTATGTACAGAGCCAAAATGATGAAAATTGTGCCAGTGTCCAAATATTTCCAGACCTAACTGTATAAGATTGTATGTGCTTGAAATTTCCCTAAGAAAAGGGGGTTGGGCGGGTGCAGAGTACGGCAAAATCTAAAACATTTCTACAGTTTTGGGGGGGGGAATGCCAAAATGAATTTACGCTATAGAACCAAGGCACGGCTCCGATTTAACTCAGCTATTTTAGCCTACAATGTGTTGTCCCTTTTCAATCTTCCACAGCATATAACAGCCACTGTAAAGTGAATTATGATATACTCAAACTCTGTGCTTTTCTCTTTTGAGATTCCAGTTTATCTTTTCTTGGGTATAGATTTTGCAATTGGATTTTAAACTGATCAGTGCTCTCTCTAAACAGGCTGCAGCATCTTTGGTGGCAGAATGGCTTACGTAAAACGTATCATAGTGGATAACTATTTCATGGATAAACCCACCGATATCGTCCATAATGCATGCAATAATTCTCCAACGTTTGGACAACATAGGAGGAGTTTGCTGTCTGCTTTTTGGCCTCTGTTCTTGGTCCCACAGTGAATGGTGGAAAATTGTAAGTTTTCATGCATTTTCAAATGACCTTTCATGATTTCACTGTACTAAGTTAAAGGGCAACTCTGGCCTACTTGGCTTTCACTACTGGAAATGTCAAATAGTACATGGAGTGTGTGATTTTTCTATTATTGTTAAAATTTTTCAAAAAATTGGTGCTATTCTAATTCATCATGTTGTATTTGCTTGAGACACTTTAGGGTTTATTTATTTATTAAACAGCAAATAACGGTGAATTGAGATCTAAAGTGTAAGAGTTTGACAAATATAGCTGGTTTGGAACAAATCTCTAACTCTGCTGTTTTCACAGTTAGGCTGTATTTTAGCATAAATTTGCATTTTCTTTTTAGTTTAGTGCCATTTGCTATTCAGTGAATAATGCACTTCACTGTGAAATTTGTGCAAACTTCTTTATTTATTTATCCTGTTGCTCAGGATTGAATGTTAACGAGTGATATTTGGCACATGTTTAACAGTTTACAGGCAAGCAAATGAAAGACAAACAGAAAAGCCCTTTTAGTGCCTTATCGCAAAACTGATTAATTTTCATGACGAGGAATAAAACTGATACTGTCTTTAGTTCCAATTTTCCATTGGATCACCTTGTATAATTAACACTGACCTCTCTTGTGTACTGTGCCCTCACATGTCTGAACCAGAAAATTATTCACTTTACAGTGACTTCTGAGTTCCTACATTTAGGCCACAATAGGGGAGTTGAAGGATATCTCCCTCAATGTATGTGTGATGATGATCTTAGTTAGGTCTAATTTGTTTGTTTCAGATGACAGGTCCCCACAACTAACTGTTAAGTGAAGATAACAGCTTATGGGTCCAGGAGTTCCTTGGCACCATCCAAATGTAATAAATCAAATCAGTTTCGAACGCTAGGCACCTAAACTGCTTCCTGTCTTTTTGAATGGGAGACGTTAGTAGAAGTATGCCAATGTATGCATTAATTGAGTTGAAAGAGTTCTTCTATTTAACAAAACTGGCATGCAGCTTATTCAGCTCTGACAAGACTGGATGCAGCACGGGCAATTGGCAAGATTCACATAAGAGTCAAACCATGTTAAAGTGGTTTGACAGGTAATACTGTGCACGAACATGTGGCAGCGGCCATCTTAAAATGTCAAATGGCCAGCGGTGTTTTGTTATCGAGCACATGGAACTGTTTTCTAGCACTCTCTCGCACGAACACTGCTGGGACTTCCAGCAATTTGTTTCCTTTTCATTCGAACGCAGTGGCACATGAACAAGAGACAATGGGGAATCAGATACACAAACAGTCCTTTTGTTATTTTAATGTGTTTCCCTACTCCTGAAATAGACCGACCGACCCAGCTGAACCTATGGAACTATTCTGGGCAGTAGCCTCGTGGGCGGCCGGGCAGAAATGTGACCTCCAGCTAACTTCGAACCCCTGAACCGATCTGGGTGATTTTTAAGTATGTTGCTCCCCCAGATCGGGGCTATCAGGAAATGTATATTTTATGGGGGTCTCTTATGTTTTTGGGGTGTTTTCAAAAATGTATAAAAACTTGTATTTTTTGTTTGGAGATAATTGAGTTGATACAATAATTAACTCAATTATCTCCTAAGCAGAGGGGAGGGATTGTGTACACTGTATGGGAGTGTCTGAATGTAATACATTGTTTTTATTGCCTTGTTGATCCCGTGTCCCTGTGCCCCACAAGGTCCACCTGGGTGGTAACCTTGTGGGAAAAACTATATAAAAGGCCAGTGTGCCTCATTAAACCTTGTGTTCCTGTTTTACCCTCAACATAGAGTCTCTCTCGCATGTGTGTGTGTTGGGGGGGGGGAGCGCATCTACCCTGGGGATTGCTATATCACTATACTCCTGAGGGATTATGATCACTAAGCTCTTTTAAGAGCTGTTCCTGTTACTCTCTCTTGGAGAAGAGGTTCTCCCACTGGAAGCTGGATCCTGGTCTTGGGTCCAGGGTGGGTGGAGGACGGCGAGTCCCAGCCAATGCTGGACGTGGGGACTGCTGTGCTGCTGGTGTCTGGTGGAGTGCTTGGAGTCCTAGGGGAGCACTAGGAGCATCCATCGGCAGAGGTACCCAACCGGGGTACAGGAAGCTCTGTTACAGTACTAAAAACCTCTGTTATTTAAAGGAGAACTCCAAGCACTATAACAACTTAATGTTAATACCTGGAGGTCCTGGGTGCTTTATCCTCAAAGTTGTCCAGATGGCACCTGTCAGTTCAGTTCGTATTCCTCCACATACGTCCCCAGGTTCAATGAGAACATCATGGACTGATGCCTTTTAAAGATTGAGAGTATTATGTGACATTCTCAGCCGATGATTGGCTTCCTATTATAAAAAGTCATGAGATAATGTAGGCTGTTCTTGTGCTTTTACTTTCCAAGTCATCTAATTTGGAGTTGATCTATCACCTCATGCAACTGTAGTTGTGAAATTATATATTGCTGATGACTACAACTTTGTTCAAGCACATGTAGGCGCACTGAATGTGCAGTTATATTTACCATGGAAATATCAAAGGATATTTCAATATAATCAAGATTGACGTCCAATAAAATTGCCAGCATTTCAACCACAGTTTGTGAGGTAGTTATAGACAATAGGTGGAGGACAAAAATGTGTCTTTAAGTGACTGTCACCTTCTGGGTCTATGCATATGTTGCAAAGACCCCCCAATTGTAACATGTGGGTTGCGGTGGCCTGGGGGTGCACTAGATGGGAGTTATACTTACCTGATGCTGTCATCTTTGATCTTCAGCCCCTGGCTCTTACGTCAGTGCTGGACTCTGGTGCAAGAGTACAACACTGATGTCTACCGAGGATCCCGCCAGACTGAGGGAGCATCCATAGATAGTGTCTTGAGATGAGCAAGACAATGGCTTATTCCAAACGCCGTTGCTAGTGATGGCTGGGGGAAGTTGCAAAACATGATGAAGGTACCTCCACCTTTCC